ATGCTCATTTATTCGCATCTGTAAGTTTTAAAGCTAACCAAACAAGACAAATATAATTATATTTTTCAATACTTTGTAAATTTTTGAACTTCCAAATTAAATTTAAATACACGAAAATATCTTGTTCAAGCGCATTGTAGTTCACGCATTTCTGGTTGCAAACTTATTTTTCAGTCAAATATTAAACTACCAATGGATTCAACAAAGATCATACTGATAAGTCACAGATATTCCTTTAAAATTGTATACATGCAATTGTGTTTTTGCATGTATAAAATGTTCAAGGAATATCTGTGATTAATCAATATGATCTACATTAAATCCAAAAAACAAGAGCTGTCAACCATTCTCAGAGCTTGACAGTAAAAAAAGGGACATAACTCTGTGAAAAGTTATGGGACTTACACCCATTATGGTATATCTTACATAAAGATTATAATTGAAAGGTACGTACATAAGTATACCGATAAAGCACTGTCTTAAGTGAAGAAAATAATGCCCTATATGAAAATAATGATACAAAATAATCTTTTTATATAACAGAATACCTAGAGCTGCCACATGATAAAAGGATTAATGTCCCAACCTGATCTTTATGAAAAAGGATCTTATTTAGTCCAACTGATAATTATTTTTGAAAGAAAGCATTTGAAGTTCAGTTGAAAAGTATACATTTTATAGTGCACAGACAAAATGTTCAAATTCTGACCTTAAATAGTGACCTTCACCTTGAGCCTGTACAGTGGCAGCATGGGTTTTGCACATTGTCTTGATGAGGTGACCATTTGAGTCAAGCTTGAAGTAAATGTGTCCCGGGGTATAGGATTTAAATAGTGGACACAAATTGTCTTATATTTGACCTTTTAGTGTAACATTGGCCTAGAGTTTACACAGTGCGCAGCAGTATGGGTTCTGCACATTGCCTTGTTAAGGTGATCATTTGATTCAAATTTAAAGAATATCCTTCGACTGGTATTGGATTTACAAGAATTTGTAACAGAGTTACCAACGTCCCCGCCTCGGGGTAGTTTTATATGAAGCATAAAATTGTGCTATTGCAAAAGATTGAGGTATGGATTTCAGGACTTTCAGTCCAAATTATGATCAATGCTAGATCTGCAAATGCACAATAATTTTTTAAAGAAATACTAGTAAAATGAAACACGGAATTTAAAATTCTATCATGTTTACCTTTGACCTCTAAGTGTGACCTTGACCCTGGAGGTAGGGGTGCAGGTATTGTGCATGACATATCGTCTTATTAATATTACTATTTGTGCCAAGTATTTTCAAAATCCCTTTAACTATGTAGAAGTTATAGATCAGACACAAAATATACCCTATAACAGACTATGTCAATCTTTGACCTTTAAGTGTGACCTTGTAGGTAGGGACCCATGTTTTGCACCTGACATATCATCTAATTATTGTGATTATTTGTGCAAAGTATTTTTAAAATCCCAGGTTATGGACTGGACACAAAATATACCCTATAACAGACTATGTAAAACTTTGACCTCTATGTGTGACCTGGACCTTGGAGGTAGGGACACATGTGTTATGCATGACATATCATCTTGTCTATTTGTGCCTAGTTATTTCAAAATCCTGAAGAAGTTCTAGATCAGACACGAAATATACCATAAAACAGACTATGTTAATTTTTGACCTCTAAGTGTGACCTTGAACATGGGGGTAGGGATGCAGGTGTTGCACAAGACACATTGTCTTATTAAAGTGACTATTTGTGGCAAGGATTTACAAAATCCTTTGATCTATGAAAAAGTTTAAACTGGACACAAAATATACCCTGTAAAAGACTATGTAAATTTTTGACCTCCAAGTGTGACCTTGACCTTCGAGGTAGGTGACTGGTTGTTGTGCATGACACAATGTCTCATTATTGTGAACAATTGTGGCAAGTATTTACAAAATCCCTTCAAAGATAAGAAAGTTATGGACCGGACACGACATATACCATCAAATAGACAATGTTGACCTTGAATGAGCAAGTGCGACCTTGACCCTGGAGGTAGGGGTCTGGTAGATGCGAATTACACATCGTCTTATTATAACAAACATTTGTGCCAAGTTATTTCAGATTCCTTTGATAAATGACAAAGTTATGTACCGGACACGAAAGTGTGACGGATGGACGGACGGACGGACGGACGGAGCCTGTTACTATATCCGCCTTTTTCATCGAAAAGGCGGGGGACAGTAAAGCGACACAAAATTATCAGACAATTGAACTAACTTCAATAGTAACCTTCACCCTGAGTGAGCCTTCACAGCAGCTCTATAGGTTTTGAACATTGCCTTGTTGAGGTTTTGACCGAAGACTGAAGAAAATCCTGAAAGGGGTATAGGATTCATAGAGCAGATAGAATACAGACGTGAGTAAGTGACTTCATTATAGCCCCTTCCATATTGTAGAAGACATGAACTTTTCTGATATATGCGTTTGACTTTCATAGGTGATCTTGACCTGGAAACGGCACAGGCAGGGCATGGGTTCAGTACAATGTCTTGATCAGGCAAACATTTGGCCAAGTTTGAAGAAAATCCTTCAAGACTTATAGGAGTCATAGAGCAGACAGACCAATGGACTAATGCCACAAAGTGATTACAGTATACCCTCCACATTATTTTTCAGTGGTATAAAGGGGCGTCCGTGGCCGAGTCGTTAAGGTCGTGACTTCAAATCACTTGCCCCTCACTGCTGTGGGTTCGGATCCCGACAGAGACTGTGGATTCTTTCATGTGAGGAAACTAGCCAGCTTACGGAACGTCGGTGGTTCTACTCAGGTGCCCGTTCGTGCCTGAAATAATGCACAGAAGGGCACCTGATTTCTTCCTCCACCAGTAAAGCTGGAACGTCGCGATATGACGTATACTGTGTCAATGTGACGTATAAAGAAATAAAAAATATCTACCTTTCTCACAGACTTGTTCTCTTTGTCAGTCTCAACAACTAACTCCACAGACTGAGACCTTTTTGGTGAAAAATAATTAGTTATTTTATTGCCTGAATTTGGAGTCTTTATGGAAGATGCCGACTTCTTTGGAGTATTTAAGGATGATGCCAACTTCTTTCGTAACTTCTTTGGTGAAATTTTGTCTGCTGTGGATAGTTTACATTGTGATTTAACTTGAGAAATTCCTGAAATGATGCACACCATTTTATAGAACAACCACCAACCACTTTCATTTCAGATTCAAGTGATGATGATAATCAAAGGGCTGCAAACTCTGTGGTGCAATCTAATTCGTACTGTATATCTGAATCTATTTTCCCGTAAAAGTTTATTTTTATATACAATAATTCATCTTACAGGACACCAAGATGCGGTGACTGCGTTTAGATTTTTTACTATAACAGTTTGAGTTTGATACATACGCAATTTGCATGACTAGAGTTGCATCAAAAGTCATTTATGATCATTTTTTATGACAGCCACACTTTATCCTTGCATATCGTGGCTATTAACTTCCTTAAAAAAGACACATAAAAAATAGTTGCTTCGACTAGGATTTGAACCCCAGACCTCTCACACCCTAAACGAGTGTGTTACCCTTGCACCACGGGGAAGTTATACGAAGAAAGCCCGAATAAAATCAAATAATTGTAAATTTAGAATTTCGGGTTTGTAATCTTAATTAATTTCGAGGTATTTTGTTCAAAATAATCCTGTTGTTTAACACTGATGTAAATAATTTAGCGAAAATCTCGCCGGTCAACATGTATATATTCCACTACTGGACAGTCAGATTTATTTGTGTACTACGCTCTGAAGTATTCGGTAATCCACATCGCTAAAATAGCATTTTTTCATTGATTTAAATGATATTCATCCGCCTAATTTGTGATTGTGCATATATTGAAAATTCTATAAGGCAACGCTACTTTTAAAATTTGAATGCGTTGTAATTTGTTGGTTACTTGTAACAAAATAAAAATATTTCTTTTTTACATCACTAGTTTTAAACTGTTTTCAGGACTACTTGTTGTTAGGTTTGTCGTGAAATTCTGTGCCAGAGATTGAATGTCAGCATTGTATTTCCTGATCTATGATCAGAAAATACAACAAGAGCACCGCTAGGCGGAGCATTATATGCCCGAAAGTACTTTTTCTTTGAGTAAGGATGAAGCATTTGTAAGACATGGGAATTAAATACAGTATTACCTCCTTCAAAAAGCAATCCTCCTTTATAGCTGAAGAACATTCATGTATAAATACAGTTGCTGTTTTCAAAGCACCACCATCAAGTTGTTATCTTGTAAGTAAAAATGCTACAACGGATGGACGAAAGACGTCAGGGGTTATAAAGCTGTTAATCCTATAAAATTTTACAGCTGTAGGTTGATTAATGCTTGAGTTATTGAGCGAAAACTGTTTCAAGTTTAAAGATGATATTAACCTTGATCTTTGACCTTGTGACCCCAAAATCAAGAGGGGTCTTATACCCAATATGGACAATCATCCTATGAAATTTGAAAACTTTGGGCCAAATGGAACTTAAGTAAAGCTCCGGAAACCATTTTCAGTGTTAAGCTAATAGTTACCTTGACCTTTGACATTGTGACCTTAAAATCAATAAGAGTCTTCTACCCAATATGGGCAATCATCCTGTGAAGTTTGAATACTGTGGGCCAAATGGAACTTAAGTTCTGCTGCGGAAACAATTTTCAGTTTTACGGTAATAGTTACCTTGACCTTTGACCGTGTGATCAAAAAATAAATAGGGGTCTTTTACCCAATATGGACAATCATCCTATGAAGTTTGAATACTATGGACCACATGGAACTTAAGTTATGGTGAGGAAACCATTTTCAGTTTTAGGGTAATAGTGACCTTGACCTTTGACTTTTTGACCCCGAAATCAATAGGGGTCTTTTATCCAATATGGACAATCATCCTATGAAGTTTTAAAACGATGGGCCAAATTGAACTTAAGTTATGCTCCGGAAACCATTTTCAGTATTTAGCTAATAGTGACCTTGACCTTGTGACCCCAAAATCAATAGGGATCTTCTACCCAATATAGACAATCATCCTATGAAGTTTGAAAACTTTGGGCCAAATGGAACTTAAGTTATGCTCCGGAAACCATTTTCAGTATTAAGCTAATAGTGACCTTGACCTTTGACTTTGTGACCCCAAAATCAATAGGGGTCTTCTACGCAATATGGGCAATCATCCTATGAAGTTTGAAAAATGTTGGCCAAATGGAACTTAAGTTATGGTCCGGAAACCATTTTCAGTTATAGGGTAATAGTGACCTTCACCTTTGACCTAGTGACAGTAAAATCGATCGGGGTCTTCTACCCGATATGTACAATCATCCTATGAACTTTGAAAACTGTGGGCCAAATGGAACTTAAGTTATGCTCCGGAAACCATTTTCAGTTTTAGGGTAATAGTAACCTTGACCTTTGACCTTGTGACCCCAAAATCAATAGGGGTCTTCTACCCAATATGGACAATCATCCTATGAAGTTTGAAAACTGTTGGCCAAATAGAACTTAAGTTATGCTCCTGAAACCATTTTCAGTTATAGGGTAATAGTGACCTTGACCTTTGACCTTGTGACCGTAAAATCAATAGGGGTCTTCTACCCGATATGTACAATCATCCTATGAAGTTTGAAAACTGTGGGCCAAATGGAACTTAAGTTATGCTCCGGAAACCATTTTCAGTTTTAGGGTAATAGTAACCTTGACCTTTGACCTTGTGACCCCAAAATCAATAGGGGTCTTCTACCCAATATTGGCATCATCCTATGAAGTTTGAATACTGTTGGCCAAATGGAACTTAAGTTATGCTCCGGAAACCAAATTGCTAACGGACGGACGGACAGACGGACGCCAGGGGGTATAACATAATATGCCTAAAATTATTTCAGGCATACAAAAATGATTAAACAAGATGGGCAATGATGACTCATCATTCACAAAAGGAATATGGTCTACATGTACAAGATTTAATTACATGATTATTCCTTGTGCAACAGACCAGAACAATTCAGTAATTTTTGAAAAGGACTACAAATGACCATTCCTGTAAAGTTTCATCATAATCTAAAAAAGCTGTTTAGAAGAAGTCATTTAAAAGTTCATCTATATTTAGTTCTGGTGGCTATTTTGTTGTTAAGTAAACCTTTACAGTTTTAACCTAAAGATAGAGATTTTCACAATCAACAAGTAACTGAGGAGAAGTTATTTAAAGCTTATTTCTTGACTGTGCCAGCTATCTTTAAAAAACCAGAACCAATTGAGAATTTTTTGTAAAGGACTACCTTATCATCAGACGCCAACATGTTCAGGTAGAGGGGGGGGGGGAGGAGGGGGGTTCTGGTGGCGGTGTTTTTTCTTTCTATTTTTAGCTCTGGCGGATAACTGATACAGCATACTGAATCAAAACCGTTTGAGCAATTTTCATTTACGAACATACAAAGATCATTTTTGAACAGTTTCATCAAAACCTACCCAGTTGTTGAGGAGATGTTGTTTAAAGGTTTTCAGCTTTGGTGGCCATAATTGTCTGCAGACTGGACTATATTTGTGTAGTTTCATCAATATTGGCCAAGGGACCGAGGAGATGTCATAAAGCTTATTTCTTTTTTTAACTGGTGGGGGTCTTGTTCTTTAATCTGGAACCATTTGAGTAATTTATGCAAAGCATCTTGTAATGGTCATTGCTGCCTCGTTTCATCGAAATCTACAACATGTTTCAGGAGATGTTGTTGAAGAGCTCTTTTGTCTACTATAATTTATGGTGGCCACCAAACTTTAAGCAATTTTTATAGAGGACCACCAAATGATCTTTCATTATTAGCTGGAGCTGTCATGTTTATCCATTTAAGCAGGCACAGTCTTATTTTAGCAAAAAAAATCGTTCAAAAATTCAAGAACTGGTAACCCAAGTTAGTATTATACAAAAAAATAAATAAATAAAAAAAGAAAAGAAAAAAAGCAGTTTTTTCTAACCTTGATTTTTTTAATAATTTTTTTATAACAGAATATGACATTTTGTTTCTAATTTAGTTGTATTCAACAATGTATCGAATCTGATTGCAAGTACAACAAGATTGCATTTGAGAAAAATGCTATGCCACCGCATTAATACAATACTAAATAATAGTGTAGGAACAGATTTTTTTTTGTTTCTATACAATTTTGAAGATTGTCATAATGCATAGATCCCTGACCTTATAATTAATCTAATTCTTAGTATCAGATTAGTGGTTAAATCTGTTGTTAACTCAATAAAAGATCAGAGTAGGAATATATCAATGCACGTGAGTCTAGTGATTTTGGTGGTGAAGGTCATATTTCACACAGCCTAAATTTCATGACTACATCAAAGGACAACACAGTAAGACACTTTGTCAAAATCTAGGTCAGCTGAAATCAAAGTTCACTTTGCATCTTAATCTGTGCACATGGTTCAAATTTCATAGCTGTACATCAAAGGACAAGAAAGTAGGTCACATCATCAAAATCTTGGTCACCTGATATCAAAGTTCAATTTTACAACTAAAACTGTGCACATGGTCAAAATTTCATTGCTTGCTGTACATCAAAGGACAATAAAGTAGGTCCCTGTCCCCTTGGGCAAGGCAAAATTTTTGACCCAAGGGTTTAATTCAAAACAATCTTGATACAGGTCCACCAAACAACATTTCAAGTCAAATATCTAAGCTGTAGCTTTCTCCCATTCAGAAAACATTTGTTTTATTTTCTGTTTTTACTATGTGTACATAATGAGAATCACTGCCCCCCGGGCAGGGCCAATTTTGACACTAGGGAAAAAAATTGAACACCTTTGGTAGAGGACCTATAGATGATATTATATAGCAAACATCAAAGCTCTATGTCTTGTACCTTCAGACAAAATATTTTTTTATTTTTTTACTATATGTACATAATAAAAATCAATAACCCCCGGGGCGGAACCAATTTTGACCCCAGGGCTATAATTTGAACAATCTTGGTAAAGGTTCACTTCGCAAAGTCTAATGCCATATATTTAACAACTAGCCTATGTCAATTCAAAGAAGAAGATTTTTCAATTCAGAGAAGAAAATTTTTCAAGTGTTTACTTTATACATATGTACATATAAGGAAAACTATCGCCTCTGGAGCAGGGCAATTTTAACACTAGGGGCATAATTAAAACAACTTTTGTAGAGGACCCATAGATGATATTACATACCAAATATCAAAGCTCTAAGCCTTGTACCTTCAGACAAGAAGATTTTAGAATTTTTTACTATATGTACATAGTGAAAATCAATGACCCCTGGGGATGGGGCCAATTTTGACCCCAGGGCTATAATTTGTACAATCTTGCTAGAGGTTCACTACACAATGTTTCATGCAAAACATCTTAACTCTAGCATTTGTAAATTAAGAGAAGATGATTTTTTAAGTTTTTACTATATACATATAAGGAAAACCTATGCCCCCCCCCCCCCCGGGCGGGGCTAATTTTGACACTAGAGACAAAATTTGAACAACTTTTGTAGAGTACCTATAGATTATATCATTTAACAAATATTAAAGCTCTAAGCCTTGTACCTCCAGATAATAAGATTTTTTGATTTTTGTTACTATTATGTAGATATTGAAAATCAATGACCCCCGGAGCGCGGGCAATTTTGACCCCAGGGCTATAATTTGAACAATCTTGCTAGAAGTTCACTTCTCAATGTTTCATGCAAAATATCTAACCTTTAGCATTTGTCAATTGCTAGTAGAATTTTTTTTAAAGTTTTACTATAAGTTTTTACTATATACATAAAAGGAAAACCAATGACCCCCGGGGCTGGGCAGATTTTGACCCCAGGGCTATAATTTGAACAATCTTGGTAGAGGTCTACTAGAAAATGCCTTATGCAAAATATCTAAGCTCTAGGCCTTTTGGGTTTTTACAAGAAGATTTTTTAAATTTATTCTTATAATTATTTTTGGTTGCCATGGCAACCAGATTTCTGCATGGAATGAAATTCTTTGAACAACTTTGGAAGCCCTTCACCCAAGGATCAATCCTGCTAAGTTTGGTTGAAATTGGACTAGTGGTTTTTCACAAGAAGATTTTTTAAGTTCACTATATAATCTTTATAACACACACACACACACGCACGCACGCACGCGCGTGCGCACGCACACACAGGTGAATCGCTATATGCCACCGCATCGCAGATGCTGCGGTGGCATAACAATCACGGAAAATAGTTACTCCATAATAGGATATGTTGTTGGTAATCATTGTTAATTGCAACTAGAAATGTGTCCATTGGACACAAGTTCCCCACACACCACTGTTGTGTCAATCTTATGACTCTACGTAATATATTTTTAGGCTACATGTGACACAAGTAACAAGTAGAATCTTTAACTAATTCAAGGGCAAGAACTTTACAAATACTGAACAAATTCACAAGCAAACCCCCAAGGTGCATAAGTACACATGCTTACCAACATTCTTGTAAACTTTCAGACCTACAGTCAAATACTTTTTGAACTAAGTATGAACAAGCTGAAAATTGCAAATTTATACTAAGTCAAGGGCAATGATATTGACAAAAAAGAAAAAATCCACAAGCGAAACTCCAGGAGCACAACTTCTCATGCAGAGCAACATTCCTGTAAAGTTGCATGACTCTTGGTCAAATACTTTTTAGATATGTGCGTCACAAGTTGAAAATTGCAAATTTTTACAAAGTCAAGGGCAATAACTCTGACAAAACTGAATTAATCCACAAGCGACACCACGGGTTCACAACTTTACATTCTAAGCAACATTCCTGTAAAGTTTCATGACTAGATCAAATACTTTTAGAGTTATTTGCAACACAAGTTGAAAATTTCAAATTCTTACTTAGTCAAGTGCAATAACACTACAAATACTGAATACACGCACATACCCAGGTGCACAACTACACATGCTGACTAACATTTCTGTAAAGTTTCATGACTCTAGGTCAAATACTTTTTGAGCTACATGCGACACAACATGAGAACGTAAGGACAAGAGTATATCTAAATGCCCCCTATAGTGGGGGCACAACAAAAACAAAATATCATATCTTGTCATAAAGAAACCATGTTTATATATTGAAACTCTAAGAATTTTATTGGTATGGTCAGGTAAACATTTGCTAACAGCTAGCTAGTGACATAGGGGTATCAAAAAAGCTCACCTTGACCACTTAGTGCCTGAAGGTCAGTAGGCATCAGCATGTCTCTGAAATAATGCAAGAAGGATGGCCTAGTCTTTCTCAATCATTAAACCTCAGATCAGTTAAACATATGTCTACTCAGTGCTGGCAAGAGTTAAGCCTATTTTTTTGGCTTGGTTATTAAACACTTGGACACTCAAAAGATCATATGATGACTTTCAAACTTTAATGCTTGAAAATGACCTCAGGCAACCCTTCGTGCAAAATCTCAGTCATAAATGGGAAATTGGATAGTCCATGTAATAGATTCAAACCCACATTTGTAAAGGGAAGTAGTGCGAAGTTAACAATTTTACCTACTATGCCTACTGTAAATGATC